ATGCCCTCCCTCCCTAATTCCCTCTGAGTAGTACATGAAATGTGTTCAATAACATTAAGTATGAGATTACTTTCATTAGTAAACCTTAATTTTACTAAAAGCTATTGAAAACCACAAGTTTAACCTGATGACATGGTGGGTTTTGTTGACCTAAAGAATAGTAAATATTTATTAACTAGTTTCTCACATATGTGTGACTATAGCTCATAACCCTTTGAACAATGACAGCACTTTGCCAAAACAACCCAGACCTATAACTCACTGGGGTCTAGTTTATTCACTGTTTACTTTGTAGTTTTAAATAAACTATAATCCTTGGAAATTGTAAATTGGTAGTCTACCAGATTTCTCTTTTTCTTTTTTTGGGGGGGCAGTGCAGGGTCTATGTACCCCAAACTGGCCTCAGATTTAGAATGTAACTAAAGAGGACCTTCTGCATGTGGGATCACAGATTTGTGCTACAAAGCCTGTGGTGTGGTGCTAGGGACTGAATCCAGGACTTCCTGTGTGCTAAGCCTCATCGCCTTTTAAGTAACATTTAACTGACTGAATGGTGTTTTGGTCCATAGCAATGGCTAAGTAACATATACTATTCTAGTACTGTGCAGATATGGGCAGCTGTTAGGTCAAAGGAATTTCCTACCAGCGACACTTGGTAGATGGATATACTCAGAAAAAAGACTGAGTCTGCCTGCTACTGTTTTATAAATGAACAAGTTACTCTGTGACCATGAACATGCTATTGTCTCACATCCACGAAACATCTGGCCTTCCCACTTTCCAAAGCATTTGTGAGAAACATAAGTTTGGCAGGAAGGTCTTTGTGATGTGAAAGTCCTCGGCACAGTGCAAGGAACCATAATTCCGTAAAGCATCCTTAGGTTAGATGAAAAACTAACAATATCCCAATGTGTTCCAGGACATCTTTTTTTTTTTTTTTTTTTTTTTTTTGGTTTTACAAGACAGGGTTTCTCTGTTTTGGAGGCTGTCGGTCTAGCCTGGCCTCGAACTCACAGAGATCCGCCTGCCTCTGCCTCCCGAGTGCTGGGATTAAAGGCGTGCGCCACCAACGCCCGGCTCCAGGACATCATTTTAATATACAGAAATATAGAGAATGAGATTAATAGTATGACAAAAGTTTAAAGACAAGACCCTCCGCAGAGAAAGCCGAGGTAGCTGCCTCATGACATCAGTAGATAACTTCACACACAAGAGACCTGCATGACAGTAACTCAAGCAGTCTACAGGATGGGGAAACCCCACAGACATTAAAACTAGAAATCATGGCACACTTAGAAAACTTAAATTTTCAAATCCATGACAGTTTAGTATATGCACCAATAGTCACATTTTAGCCTGACTGATATCTTATTATTTGAGAGTTATTTATGAAAAAAGACAAATCATTTCCCATGCCCATTATTTACCACTTCCAAACTGCATGACATCATAAGTGAAGCCAAAATTTCTGGGGTTTTCCTCCTTAAACCCTTTTGATCAGGTAGCTCTAATTTTCATCAAGTTAGAAATCCAGGTGGCTGTGCACCTCTCAAAGGGAATGCAGATGGGTGGTCAGGGACCCACAAGAGAGGTCCATGAACACAGCACACGAAGGGGAAGAGCCTTCAAACCTGATGTGTGGAGAGACAGCTCAGTGTACAAAGAGCAAAGGCTAAAATACAGTGACGGGAGCAAATGTGGCACATGATTTTGTGGGCTGCGTGTGTACACGAGGTAGGATGTGTGTGGAGTGGGAGCACTTGGGGGGTGAGCCTGCAGAAGCCAGAGGCTGACACGAGGTGTCTTCCTCAAAATATTTCCACCGTGTTTTTCAGACAGGGTTCCCCTAAATCTGGGCTTTGTCATTTCAGTTAGGCTGACCAGCTGGCCAGTCAACCCCAGGAATCCATCTGCACCTCCCACACGGTGCTGGGGTCAGAGATGACAGTGATGGGGATCCAAACTCCCCTGAGCCATCTCTCCAGCTAACTACCTTTTGATCATTTTTATAACTGGCCAAAAGCTGATTTTAAAAATATTCAATGAAGCCGGGTGTTGGTGGCACACGCCTTTAATCCCAGCACTCGGGAGGCAGAGGCAGGCGGATCTCTGTAAGTTCAAGACCAGCCTGGACTACCAAGTGAGTTCCAGGACAGCCTCCAAAAGCCACAGAGAAACCCTGTCTCGAAACCCCCCCCCAAAAAAAATTCAATGATGAGGAATCATATGCGGGGATACCAGACTTTGGACAGAGACCCACTTCCCCATCAGCCTGGGAGTAGGCAGCTGTAAGACAATGTTTACTAAAAACATGTTTACTAAAAACAATACAATGCCCGGGGCAATAAGTTCCTGAAAAGGGCTGGCCCACAGGAACTGCCCTGACCTCGACCTTGTCCAAAGACTAACCGCCTCTTCTGACACACCCAAGTCAGCTTCTGGTGTCAGAGCAGAACCAGCCAGGGGTAAGGGGAGAGCAGAAGCTTTTCTGGAGGGAGGCCTTTTTTGGGAAGTTTTCTTGAGCCTTATTGGGGCCTGCTTAAAGTTTTCTTTACACCGTTGAGTCTCTGTATTGTTAATCCCCGACACCCTCCACACATTCTCAGACACAGGCTGCGCAGCGGGCGTGGCAATCATATCATTTCTCTTCTTCCTTTTCACCCCTAGAATACAGCCTCTTAACTTGGGTACTTAGGGCTAGCAAAAGTAGATGAGTCAGATAAAACTGTGATATCTGAGTGAGAGGTCACAGGTCCTGGGACATGTTGCTAGTGTTTTACGCTGTAACATGGCAGAAGTAGCCAATGCTCTTTTGTTTTGTTTTTCGAAACAGAGTTTCTCTGTGTAGTCCTGGCCTTCCTGGAACTCACTCTGCAGGCCAGACTGGCCTCAAAATCAGAGATCTGCTTGCCTGTACCCCAGAGTGCTGAGATTAAAGGCATGTGCTATCACCACCTAACAAGAATGGCAAATTCTACTGCTATCATTAAAGGTGCTAGCAGATCCCTAACAACACAGGCCCCCCACCTTCCCTCTCTGGAGCAAAGTACTTGTACTTGGTATGTGCAAAGTGGCTGCATGAGACCACCAAGATCCACCTCACTGGAGCTGTGTGAGGCTGCTGGGGAGGGACCTCACCATTTCTGGGGAGACATTTTTCTATAATACAGATGTCCCTAACAGCATATGGAGGTGTTTCAATTCCTATTCAGAAACCTCTAGAAGAGAAGATAAATGGATAGGAAGCCCAATCACCCTTCTCGAGAGGACTGTGCCTTCATCATGAAATTATTAACATGGGTAATGTGATCAAGAACATGCACCATCTTGAAGGTTCCACGCAGAACAGAGCATGCATGTTTAGAAATTACAAAGGCTTGCGGTAGAAGACTGCAAAGGGATATGGTTCCATTCAGCAGGCACAGCTGTGACTTCTTTCCAGAGCCGCTAAGTTCCCCTCAGGCAGTGACTTTTATGAAAGGGTTTATAAAAGTGAGCACTCTCACTTTTAACCCAAAGCCATGAGAGCAGCCATTTACTCTGAATCCACACTGCCTTGACGGGGGCCGGGAGAGGGCTGTTTCTAAGAACTGCATGTCATGTTGTTCCCCACCCTTTGCCATTTACTGAAACTGAACCTTCAGTCATGCTGCAGGGGGTCTGCCAACATGGATGGCTACTAGACTGAGAGCCCTCTTTGTACCCAAGGACCCAACTTGTATATGATACGAGTGTGGAAGGGAACCCATCCAAGTTTCTGAATGAGTGGGTCTCAAGTATGCACCATTATGGACACAAAATGCCTCATTGTGTTAGTCTGCTAAGGTATCCTGTGTTACATTTTGAGAAACACTTGAAGCCACAGAGCTATTTCTCTTTCAAACATATTGACACCACAAATGCAAAGGGAAAAAAGCATATACAGCTAATGAGGCCACAGCAAACCCAAGTGTTCTGAGAAGTTAGTCAACTCCTAGAAGAAAACTGTTAACATGAGCCTGGGTCCATAAGCATAGCGCAGCGTGGTAGCTGTAAATGAAAACCAACCACACAGCGCAGCCCTCCAGAGAAGCACTCCAAAGCCATGGCGGGGGTGGTTAAGAGCACTTGCTGCTCTTACAGGAACCAGGTTCAGTTCCCAGCACCTGTAACAGTTTGTCACTCTGGTTCTAGGGTACCTGTTACCTTCTTTTGGCCTCCAAGGTACCAGGCACACATACAGTGTACATACATACATGCAAGGAAACCACTCATACACATAAAATAAAAATAAACAAATCATTAAAAATATTGTCTGGTATTTGATCTAAGGAAAAAATACGGTTTTCATAAATTTGGTGAAGCATTCTGAACAGGAAAAAAATTTGAGCACTGTCTAGTGGGTCCTAAGATATGAAGCTCTGTTTCCTAAATTCATACTGGAAGGAATAAAGGATGGAAGGATATCTATTTCCCACTCATCTCTGAACCTCATTAGAAAAAGGAAAACTTTAAAAAAATAAAAATACATTAACAGATGTCTATTTTTATATCCATTTCAAATTCATATTAATGTCCTTCTAAAATCTTTAATGACACACAAAACTCTATCCCAAGTCAACCCACTCCTATGATTGATGGCTGTTGAACTGATATGAAGCATCAACTAATGGGTTAAATCTATGACTATAATGGGTTAAATCTATGACTATAATGGGTTAAATCTATGACTACATATCTCATTTGGAGAGAAACAGAACAGCCATGTCCTCACAGAGGACATGAATATGGATGTCACAGTCAGTCAATGCTGGGGATTCAGAAGGAAGCTGTCTGCACAGGTCTCATGATGCCTTGTTGTGTGCTGTGCATAAAGTGACCACACCCGCTACCTTCAGAGTGCAATCCTTAGGTTCATTTGATGGTGGGTGCAGAGTTCCAGGTCCACTTCAGAAAGAAAAGGGAATATTTCCAAACACCCAGACAGTAACTGTCAAAAAGAAAGGCTCTGATAAACCTACCAGGAGGAGTGCAAGCATCCGCAGGAGACTGGACAAATGTGGACCGCCTTTTGGTAGGCATGGGCAGAGCCATTTTCTGTTCTTTGTGTTTTGCCAGAGCAGCCTGAACAGCTTCTGTATGGATATCTGAAAAGTCAAACACATGGATTTATTTGCACTTGTGCTAGATGGTAACCTCTGAGGGAATAACTATTGGTACTTACCTTGTTCAAAACGCCAAGGGGGAGATTTAGGTAGCTTTATTTATCTTTTGATTCAGATCACGTAAGATAAAAACTAAAGAGATGGAGACAAAAGAAGTCAAGGGAGCAGTGAAGACGGATGGCACACGCAGCAAAGGGCTGCCTAGAGGTGGTGGGAGTCCAGCAAGTCTGTGCCCAGAGGAAGCCTCGCCTCCAAGTGCATCAGAATTAATTCTAAGGAGAAAAGTAATGTGTCCTAAACTGAAAACGTTGGATTCGAGCATCTGCAACAAAAGTAGGTTAGGATATGCTGAGCTGTTGTCAGAGGGAACTCGGCTGACCCAGTAGGTCTGTGTCACAGGAACAGAGGAATGATTCTAGTCTACAAAGTCACCAGGCACATGTTACTCATCTGCCAGCCTGCACACAGCTCTGGCTCTGGCCTCTTGCACATGTCATAGAAACCTCAAAATTAACATATTCCAAACAGAACTATGGCTTCTCCACCCCACTACAAAAAAAAAAAAAAAAAAAACTCCCGATCACTCTGCACACAGCATGGTACACTCTGCCACTGCTTTTTGTTTGTTTGGTTGGTTGGATTTTTTTTTTTAATTTTTTGAGACAGGGTTTCTCTGTGTAGTCCTAGCTGTCCTGATTACTCTGTAGATCAGGCTGGCTTCCAACTCAGAGGGATCCGACTGCCTCTACCTCCCAATTGCTGGGATTAAAGGCATGTGCCACCACTGCCCAGCTCTGCCATTGCTTTGTAAAAAGAACCTCTTACAAGATATTCAATTTGGACTTCTGGCCCGCACATGCATGCACACACTAGTACACACACACACACACACACACACACACACACACACACACACACACACACCAACACAAACAACCATGTACATATGCCCCTCACACACAAAGACTACAGGGAAATAAGGACACTCCTGCAGATCCTACTGAGGTAGATCAAGCTCAAGGTGCTTCCCACTTGACAATTTCCCCATGCCCAGGAATGGCTCCAGTCACTTCTTTCCAGGCCTTTCAGAGGAGCTTGTCCAGTCAGATCCTTTTTTGTGGGAACTTAAACTGAATCAAAAAGTGTAGGTTCTAGAGCAGATGTGAGTTAATGACAATGACACAGAAAGGAGAGATTCTGAACTTCAATGACCTCCCTGGAGTGCTTTCCCTTTCTAGGTGTCCCTCAGCTGTTTCCTTCTGTGACCCACATCGCTATTTAAGGTAGCTCAAAATGGCAGCTGTTCCTGCAACCAAAACAATGATGACTAACACAAACAAAAATTCTAGCCACATAAACAGTTCCACAGTGTAACTTTAAAGGGCTCCAACAGTATTTCATTGAATTAACTAACCACAACTTAAGCAGCCCTTTAATATCAAATATGAGGTTGTTTCTATTTTTTTTTTTTTTTTTTTTGGTTTTTCAAGACAGGGTTTCTCTGTGTAGTTTTGGAGGCTGTCCTGGCACTCGCTCTGTAGACCAGGCTGGCCTCGAACTCACAGAGATCCACCTGCCTCTGCCCCCCCCCCCCCGCCCCCCGAGTGCTGGGATTAAAGGCGTGCGCCACCAACGCCCGGCCTGTTTCTATTTTTTTTTACTACTGTTCACAGTAAGAATAATTCAACATTTCCACTTTAGGACACATCTAATTATTTCCTTAGCATTAGCTCCAAGGAAAGGGATGAAATCAATGAATATGCACTTCTTATTAATACTTCCTTAGAATAAGAATATTTTTCTCACATAACCACTGTTCTGTTATCAAAATCTGGAAATTTAGCCAGGTGTGTTCTAGGAAGCCTTTAATCCCAGCACTCAGGAGGCAGCAGCAAATGGATCTCTGTAAATAGATCTCTGATCAAAGCTTAACTTTACTCCCAAAGCTAAAACTATGCAAACACTTCACAGAGTGATATTGGTACATACTTTTAATCCTAGCACTCAGGAGGCAGAGGCAAGTGGATCTCTGTGAATTCAAGGCCAGCCTGGTCTACATACAGAGAGTGCCAGGACTCTCTGTATCAGAGATTGAACGAAAGAATGAATGAACGAAAGAATGAATGAATGAATGAATGAATGACACTTTGCCAGGCAGTGTTGTGACATATGCCTTTAATCTAGGCAGGCAGATCTCTGAGTTTGGGGCCAGCCTGGTCTACAGAGTGAGTTCCAGGACAGCCAGAACGACACAGAGAAACCCTGTGTCAGGAAAAAAATAAGGAAGGAGGGAGGGAAGGAAAGGGAGGGAGGGAGGGAGGGACGGAGGGAGGGAGGGAGGGAGGGAGGGAGGGGGAGGGGGAGGAGAGGGAGAGGGGGAGGGAGAGGAGGGGGAGGGAGAGGGAGAGGGAGAGGGAGAGAGGGAGAGAGAGAGAGAGAGAGAGAGAGAGAGAGAGAGAGAGAGAGAGAGAGGGAGGGAGGGAGGGAGGGAGAGAGAGAGAGAGAGAGAGAGAGAGAGAGAGAGAGAGAGAGAGAGAGAGAGAGAGAGAGAGAGAGAGAGAGAGAGAGAGAGAGAGAGAGAACAAACCCTCCTATCAATTCTACAGACCCTCAAGGTAAACAGTCTCCTGTGGTATTTGGTGTATTTCTCCTGTTTCTAAACAAAAGGCCACTCATGTAAGTGTCCTTTCTCGCTGTCCTGCCTTTCCTACAGGAAGGGCAATATTAGATACAAGTTTTGCTCTTGGTTTTCTTCATGCAACAACACATCCTTCATCGGCTGCTGGGTGGCTTACTTGTTCTCTCTCCACCATATCCTACAGTCTATTTAACCACTGACCTGTTTGGGAATCTTACTTATTTCCAATATTTTATAGCTACAACTAATGTAGAGAACTGCTTTTAAAGAGATGTACCATGTGCATGAACTGGAGTGTGTACATGTGCTCATGTGGGAGTAAGTTCTCCTTCAACAATGAGGGTCCTGGAGACCCCATCAGGCTTGATGAAAAGAACCTTCACCCACTGAGCCATTTCCTTGGCCAAAGCAAGGCTTTGTGCACAAAGGTTTTTGTATTGACAGTGGCATAGTCTTAAAGTAAAATTTTGTTAAGTCAGAGCCCTAAATCATTTAGTGAACACATCTATAGGTTGTTTGTTTGTTTGTTTTGACACAGGGTCTCACTATGTAGCCCTGGCTGTCCTGGAATTCATAATGTAGACCAAAGCTGGCCTTCACTCAGAGATCTGCCTGGCTCTGTCTCCCAGTGCTGGGATTAAAGGCAGGTGTCACTGTACCTGGCATGGTTTGTGTCAGGTTTTCTTTTTTTTTTTTTATTTAAAACAAAAACAAAACTCTATTTTGAGACAGGGCCTCAGACAGTAGCCCAGACTGTTCTGAGACTCACTGTGTAGCTGTGGATAACCTTGATTCCTGAATTCCCCTCCTGAGTGCTAGGACTCTAGGCTCATGGCACTGTGCCTGGCCCAGGAGTGCTGGGGATGAAACCCAGGGGTTTGTACATGCTAGGTGCTCTACCAGCTGTGCTACATCCTGAACCTTACCCTATCATAAGCAATTCCTCCTTAGAGTTTCTACTATTTCTCTACCAGCAAAGTGTAAGCACACATGTTCTCCTGTAGTCTTCATGTTCATGTATGTAGGTGTACCATGTGAATGTTTGTGCACATACCTGCAGACACCAGAGGTCTGTTCCAGGTATTTCTTTTTTTTTTTTTTTTTTTTTTTTTGGTTTTTCGAGACAGGGTTTCTCTGTATTGTTTTGGAGGCTGTCGTGGAACTAGCTCTGTAGACCAGCTGGCCTCGAACTCACAGAGATCCGCCTGCCTCTGCCTCCCGAGTGCTGGGATTAAAGGCGTGCGCCACCAACGCCCGGCCTGTTCCAGCTATTTCTATCTCTTCTCACTTTGTTTTTAGAGGATGGGGAGTGGGATTCTCTCACTGTACTGGGAGCTTGCCACTTTGGAAGACTGGCTAGCCCACAAGCCCCAGCAATCATCCCTGTCCCTGTCTTCCAGTGCTGGGGTGCCATTATACAAGTGCAGAACCTCTGACCTGAAGTTCTTATTCTTGCACAGCAAACCCTTTACAAACTAAGGCAGCTCCAGAGGCCCTTGTTTCTTCTTCTTTTTCCCGCTAGATGTTGCTATTGTTTTTTGAGAATGCCATACATTGCCCAAGCTGGTCTTGAACTCAAAATCTTCTTGCCTCTGCTTCAGGTGACTTATTTATCTGTTTAGTATGTGTTTAAACATGTTGCAGGTGGCTTATCTATTTAGCATGTATTTAAGCATGCTTCAGGTGACTTATCCATCTGTTTAGTGTGTATAGCAATAAGCCTGTGGTGATTTGAATGAGGATGGCCCCACTGGCTCAAATATTTGAACACTTGGTCCCCAGTTGGTAGAACTATTTGGGAAGGATTACAAGGCATGGCGTTGTTGGAGGAGGTGTATCACTGGGGGTGGGCAGTCAGCTCTCTGCCTTGTGATTTTTAACACGGGATATGAGCTCTCTGCTTCTGTTCTAACCCCATGAGGGTGGGGGTGGGGCATGTGAGGTGGACTCACCCCTCCTGAAACTGTGAATTCTCATGTTTTCTTTTATAAGTTGCCTTAGTCATGGCATCTCATCTCTGGCAGGACAGTCATGGACTCACTCCCTGAAACTACAAGTCCTAATAAATGTTTTCTTTTACAAGGTACCTTGGTCATGGCATCTCATCACAGTGACAGAATAGTCACTAAGACAGTATTGGCAGCCAGGTGCTCATGAAGAGGTCAGAGCCTGTTCATTTCTTCCACTATGTGAGTTCCAGGAAGTGAACTCAAGTCATCAGGCTTGGCAGCAAGTGCCTTTACCCACTGAGGTAAAATAAACATCCATGTCATTTGATCATTTTCCCCAACAACTTTTGACTTTATTTTCCCTAACTTTTCTTCATATGTTAGGGATATACAAA